TTGATGGGTTTTATAGCCGAGATGAGGGGTGTTGAAGCAGAGAGATAGCAGAAAAGGTCCAGAGAGACTCTGAGCCAATTCAGCCCAAATAAATCCTGTGTACCTCCCTCCCCTTACCCCTTCCCCCGAAGAGGATAATAATAATCCTTACATTTGATGTAGCGTCTTATCACATCGTTAAGACGTCTCAAAGCGCTTCACAGAATGTATTGTAAAGTGAATTGACTGTATATTTGTGGGCGAAACGCGGCAGCCAATTGCGCACAGCAGTGTCCCACAAACAGCCGAGGATTGAGTGACCACATTGTTTATTTTGTTATTTTGAAGGAAACTGAAAGCCAACTTTGCACAAAACAGCGACTCAGTATTATTGCTCAAAACTCGGTAGCCTTTATTCTCTATCCAATCAAACCAGGGAGAACCACCATTCCATATTAACTGTATTTGGATAGATCCTTAAAGTGTATTCCCTATTTTAAATTATCCTTTGGTAACAGTACAAAGATTGCTTTATCAAACCACTCCAACCTCCTCGGCATCTATTTCTCCCGGCGCTCTATGTCGCGAGAACGCCAGAGAAGTCAAAAAAACGTCAATATTCATATTTTATAGTCATACGAAAACATGTTCGAGGTACTGAAAACTGCTGACATTCTCTTCCTCTCTTTCTCTCTCCTTTTGACTAAAAAGGCAGCTTCACAATTATATACACAGTTCTTAATTGTAACCATAAACAGCATTTTTTTTTCCACAAGTTTTTTTTCCCTAAAGTCTATTCATTTCTTCATTATAGAAACAATTCTACTTTATAATTACCAAATCGTAAAAAAAAAAGCAGCTTTTTAAACGTACATCTAGAGCATATCGACACAGGTGTGATTTTTCTTAAGCATTAAGTAGTCAGCTGAAATGAATTCTAACCTTCCGAAGACATGAAATTAGGTACCACACATATTGCACTTATCTCTTGTGTACAGTTGCACCCCAACATACAGTACACCAAAGCCACTTCAAAGGACTTGTATTATTAAAGGTATTACAAAGGTTAAAAAAAAGGCTTATTGTACATTGAACCCAGACACAGGGCAGAGTGGAACAGTTTACAAAGTATAGAATGAGTCTGAAGTGGTCACGGGTTTAATGACCTACAAACTATTTAGAGGAAAGAACAACACACCACACACACACACAGCGATAGATAGATAACCACTTCAGTCCTTGTGTGCAAGCAGTTTACTTTTCTGTTCCGAGGCTTATCGATGTGGTAGGTTATCACTGAGGGACAGGATGATCGTTCGAGAGGTTTTCCGATGAAGTGCCCCTTCATCCTATTGAATCCCACCCCAACCCCGTACCATCCTGTCACAGCATCGAGCTTCTGTTTGTAATGAATCCCAGTGTCCCAGCCCCAACCGCCCTTCTTGATAACCCTGTTAATTAGCCTCTGGGTAAAATATAAATACTTCCTGGTGTCTGTGCTGTGCTGAAATTTGTCCACCAGATAACCCTGTGAGCCAGAGCCTCAATGCTCAGTGTGTTCTTTAATAATAATAATCCTGGCATTTGATACAGCGCCTTATCAAGTCTTCGAGACGTCTCAAAGCCCTTCACAGAATATACTGTAAAGTGAATTGACTGTATATTTTGTGGGCGAAACGCGGCGGCCAATTGCGCACAACAGCGTCCCACAAACAGTTGTAGATTTGACTGATTATTACCCCCGGAAAAGTGATCCGCTAATCGACTAATAACCGGGTTCCTACTTACAGTGTGACTGTGCTGTCGAGACTCACAATTCCCCACTGGCAAATACCTAACTCAAAGGGGTTTGGGGGAGGGGGGCGGTGGGGGATTGGGGGGGGGGGGGTTGGGAAAGGGGCCAAGAGATCCTACAGGGAAGAAGCGAAACTTGTTACCACTTTCGAGAGATCGGAAGTTGGGACAACAAAGGGAAGATTGTGGCAAAAAGATATGAATATAAAAGTTCATAATAAAGGTGTGTAGAATATTCCTCTCATCGTAAACTATATATTGGAGAACAATTTTTTTTTCCTCTCCTTTTTGGGCTCTCTCCCTCCCCCTCCACCTACCCACAGGATCCCTCCAATTCGCCTGCAAATACACAGTCACTACACTTTACAGCATTCACTGTGTATCTTGCAGGCCAGAGTCCAGCCAGTGAGGTGGAGATGTCATGATATTCATAAAAGTGATTATTCTCTCTCTCTTTGACTGCTTAGTGAAGAGGCCCGAGGTTTGCCAGGATTCTACAGGTGTCCGCAAAGTCCTGTTATCCCCCCTTTACAAAACAGCGATACTGGACTGTGTGGCACTCAACATGGCGACTGCTCATTATCTGCTGTGAGAATGATGGCATTCACACACACACAAATCCTCTGGACGTCTAAATACAGTTTAAACTTATACTGAATACAATCGCCTACTTCTAGATACAATGATCATCATTCTCCCACATGTGTCAGTGTTGGGTCAGCGCCCTGTAGAAAAAAAACATGGGGGTAACAGGACTTTGTGGATATATTGCTGTATCTCTCAGCCATCTGACTGCCTTCACAGAAAATATCCTTGCGTTTGATACTGCGCCTTACATCTTCGAGCCGTACGCTTCACAGGATACACTATGAAGTGTAGTGACTGTGTATTTTGTGGGAGAAACGCGGCGGCCAATTGCGCCCAGCGACGTCCCACAAGCAGTCGTGGATTGAGGCACCAAATTATTATATTTATTTCTTTTTGAAGGGATATATAACAGTTATAACACAAACGCCATATTCCCAGTCCTGTGTCATGTGCTAGACTTGAACTCAAGCAGCATTTATTGTGCTTCTGGGGGTACGATGGGTTAGGGTTGTCTTGTGGATTCTCTGTCGCTTTGGGCATGTGTTGAGGTACAGTGTTCAGCACAAACTATGGTGAGGTTTGAGGTCAGTGCAAGGCTAGGGTCTACTTAATGCTACGTCGCACTGACGAGAATTAGCTGGTCGTTAAATGGTGCATCGTTACGCACACTTCCTAGTGAATTAACACATGCTAAAAAGTTCCTATCAGATCTATTGGTGAAGCTCCTCCATCTATTACCCCCCCCCCATCGATGCCCCCTTTCGCTTTACAAATCATCTGACTATGCAATAATCAAAAAGGGCATCAAAGGACACGGGACCGAACTGTGGCAAATGGCCTTTTAGCGTGTGCTTTTCCTGTTCTACTTTCCGTGTGGAAGAAGTGGGGGGGGGGGGGGGGGGGGGGGAGATAAAAACCTTCATATAACATTCTAATGGCACGTGAAACATCCATCAAGTTAGGTAGAGTTATTGGGAAATAAGTAATAAATATTGCTTTTAATCCTTTACACAGACACACACACACACAGACACACACACGCACATGCAGACACACTCACACACACGCAGACACACACACAGACACACACAGACAGACACACACACACAGACAGACACACGCACACGCAGACACATACACACACACACACACACACACAGATACATACATACAAACACAGGCACAGACAGACGGACAGACGGACGGACGGACGGAGACTGCAAAACGTGACACAGAAATAGATTGACTTGAAGTCCACACAGTGGAATCAGACAACCCTAACTGGGAAGTGACTTTGGTTACTGTCCCTATATGAATGGGGTGCGTCTGTCGATTTATATTCCAGATGTTTATTTTTTCTTTGTTTTTTTTCTCTCAAACAAATTAATTAAAAGAAACCAAAAAATAAAAAGGCATCACACTATAACACTGCACTCTACAGTTTTTTTGTGGTTTGTTTGTTTCATCAAAACACTAAAAGGAATTTTTCCCTCTTCTCTTTGCCTTCAGTTTAAATAACTTCTATTATATTATTATTATTATTAGAATAAAAAAAACCCTAGGTAAGTAAAGTGTACAAAGCTTATTAATAAATCACCGGCAACTGAAATCCGAAATTCAAACGCTGAATTATTCCTTGGAAAAGCAAACACTGAAACGAGTATTGACATTGAGTATCATCTCCGAACACACACAGAGGGAAAGTGTCCCATTGAGGAGATTATTTCTTACTCTTCGGGGCACAAACAATTATCGATGAGGCCTTTTCTTAGTGCTAAACACAAACCCTGCTGCCTGGCATCAAACTGACCTCTCAGTCGTTCAACAAGGGTCGCTCACAAGTCGTAACCCTTTCAGGGGTGAAAAATGACTCAAGTTCTCCCTTGGTTTGGGTTAGAGAGCGATGATGTGAAATCCCCCCTCTCCAGACACACACATACACACACACTCTCTCTCTCTTTCCTTCCGTCCCCTCAAAGAGACGACTCCAAGTGATGCAAAACGGAGGCAGTGAGTTGGGTTGATCAGTAAAAACATGGACTCTCAATGATCCAAACTCTCCAACCCACTTTGCCGTTGCCTATTGCCATGTTATGGGAAGCGGTACCTCCGTCCTGCTTCCATCGCCTTTCCAAAAATAATGTTGCGTGCTTGTCATCTGGTCAGTTGGTTGGGTGGTTGGTTGGTACCGAGTTCAAGACAACACATTCATTCTCTGCTTAAAGTCGCTCCAGTTCCCCTCGTCTCCTCTGAGTACCAACAGACGAGGGCTAACGGTACCTCACACATTAAGTCCAGCAGCACAAACCAGTGCCAAGCACTGGGCTCATTCCCTTCTCCAACAGCTCCGAGAAGGAAAACAAGCCACAACTGTTTGTTGTGTTTGTAAAGCTTCCCCACCCCCCACGCCCGTCTCTCTCTCGCTCTCTTCCCTCCCCCGCCACTTAAAAAAGGAAAGAGACATTCCTTTCTCCATTGCCCTCACAAAAAAAAGTCAGCAGGGCTTTGCCGCTCCTTCCTTCCTCTTCATCACTCTTCTTCAATTCTCTTCGTACTGTCTCTTCCCTTCGGGTGTTTGTTTGTTTGTTTGGTTGTGTTTTCTCTCTCTCTCTCTCTCTCTCTCTCCCTCCCTCTCTCTATCTTTCTCTCTCTCTCTCTCGCTTTCAACGCTCAGAAAAGATGAGGGCGGAGTTCGAGTCAGTTCACAAGCACATAGCCTCCGTGTTGGGAGTCAACAGTTTCCATCATCTCACAGTCAAAGAGGCCGGGCAGCTCGGGGATGGCTATACCCTTGTAGTTGGGTTGCAGGTCAGAGGGGGAAGCCGCGCCGGGGGGCTGAAGATCGGAGAGAGCCAGGGAGCCCTCCTGGGGTGATCCCGCCCCGCTGTACTGACACTGGGCTGGGTAGCCTGGCTGTGATCCCATCATGTCACAGGGCTGGTAAGAGTACTGCAAAGCATGGGGCGGAGGCTGGTCCAGGTGGATCTGGGACTGCAGTGGGGGTACGATGGGTGTTTGGAGAGGGACCAAGGGCTGGGGGAGCTGTAGCTTATAGTGTGGGTTCAGGAAGGTGTCACACTGCATGTGGATCGAGGGCTGCATCACTGGGCTCAGACTGAAGGTCTGTGCCTGCTGCTGCTGTTGTTGCTGCTGCTGTTGTTGTGACTGTGCTTCGGGATGGTTCATGGGCATCTGCTGTGTCCGCTGAGGGTACGAGCCCTCCGCTATCTGCATCTGGTTGAAGTAGGCCTGTAGCTGTGACTGCTTCTGGAGGAACAGGCGTTTCTGTTGTAACCTGGAGGTGAGAGAGAGAGAAAACACACACACACATTTTCAAGGCATGAGGTGGGCAGATGTTTATTAGGTCAGAGTATCAGGAGATATGGAGCAAAGGCGGGTAATTGGAGTTGAGGTACACATCAGCCGTGATCTTATAGAATGGCAGGGCTGAATGGCCTCATCCTGTTCCTATGTTCCAATGATCCAAACTGAGCAAAGGAAAGTCATTGAGCAATAATTCTCCTTGGATCTGATACAGCGCCTTATCACATCGCAAAGCATTCACAGGAGATACTATAAAGTGGTGCTGACTGTATGTGTTTTGTACCAAACTATAGTATATTCCCTCCACAGGCTGCAGATCATCCAGAACTCTGCAGCCCATGTCCTCTCCCGCACCAGGCTCCATGACCCCATCACCCCTCGCCCAACTCCACTGGCTTCCTATCACACAGAGGATAGATCCTGGTCCAAGATCCTGGTCCTCACCTTCAAAGCCCTCCATGATCTTGTTCCCCCCCGACCTCTGCAACCTCCTAACCCCCTACCATCCTTCCTGCTCCCTCTGTTCAGCGAGCTCCGGCCTGCTTCACGTCCCCCACCTTGCTTGCTCCACCATTATTGGGTGGGCCTCTGCCACTCTACCCCACCCTCTGAATCTCCATCCCGCAGTCCTTCCACCTCGCCCCCTCCCTTGCCTCCGTCAAGACCCGACTCAAGACCCTCCTCTTCGACCATGCTTTCGATCATCCTGCTTCCCCCCCTGTCCTCCGCTCTCCCTAATCCCAACCCCCAGCTTGGGTCCGAAACCCGGACTGTCCAGCGCCTTGGTACGTCCTCCCGATGTGAAAGGCGCTGTGTAAATATGTTGTTGTTATTGAGGAAGAGATCGATTTCAAGACCCTCAAACACACATATAAATCACTTCATGCCCTGGTACGTGTTCATACCAGTTGATCTTGTTTTTGTCAAAGTCTTTACAAATGGTCCAGTGAATATATTTAGCCATGTTAATAATAATTAATAATAATACTTGCCGCCCTCTCTCTGAAATGAGCACAATGTGGATGTCTCTCACCTGTGCTCCTGCAGTTGCTGTTCCAGGCTTCTGGGTGTTTCCTTGCAGTACATTGGGCAGCTGTTTTGTGCTTTGCCGAGTAAGCTTGCTTTCTGTGAGGATTAACATAGCGTCACAGGTGCATCTCCCACAAGCCTCGCCCACACTCCACAGCCCAATTCAGTCTCGATTTTGGCCTCCGGTAATTATGAGCAATAATAATAATAATAATAATCCTGGCATTTGATACAGAGCCTCATCACGTCGTTGAGACGTCTCAAAGCGCTTCACAGGATACACTGTAAAGTGAATTGACTGTATATTTTGTGGGCAAAAGCTAATTGCGCACAGCAGTGTCCCACAGACAGTCGTGGATTGAACGACCAGATTATTACCCCCGGAAAAGCGATCCACCAATCCACTAACAACCGGTTCCTCCTTAGGCTTGTGGAGTTAGGAAACGTGCTTAAGGTTTCGTCCCACCCAGGAATTGAAGCCAGGTCGTCTCGCTTGCGAGGTGAGTGCACTAACCAGTACGCTACAGGAATGGAAAGGGATTCTTAGGTTTAGAGAGCAGTGTATGTCAACAGAAGAGGTTTTGCATCCACCGATGGGATCATCTGGCCCCAGTTTTAGAACCTTGCCGGCTTGAATAAATCCAAATTATATTAACATTGCAAAGTGCAGTGAGGGTGTATTCAGTAGGCAATTGGCACTTCCCAACCCGATGCAAACATTGCAAATGACACGCCCGGTCTCTAAACTGAAGCCGGGCGCTACCTCCGGAGCGAGGCAGAGACTTGCAGATCAGTTGCACAGGGTGAGTCAACATCTTCAGGAAGGTACATCCAAGGAAAACACTTTACAAGATCGCAAGACTAGTTTGGATGACTAACGTACTTTGGCTCATTTGATCTCATCCTCCCACAACACCCACCCACCTGCCCAACCGCCCGCCCTAACATCACAGCATTGAGGTGTTTCTTAAATGAGTTCGGATCGTGTCTTAAGAACATAAGAATTTGCTCCGCAAAAGAAGTCCAAGGTCCATCTTGTTCAGCTTCCACCATCCTGCCAGTTGCTTGCACATGTCATGTCCCCAAACTATATACTGTAGCCCCCCAGATATTATTTCCTACCAGAAATCTTTCTAATTTGTTCCTGAAACAAACAACACTTTCTGCTTCCACCATCTCCCCAGCGAGCCTGATCCATACGTTTACTACTTGCTCACTGAAGTTGAATGTAGTTGAAGGCTCCAACTAATTTACTTTGTAACCCTGTTCTAGTCTTTAATTAGGGTTAGGGATACACAATCTGCACATACAATGACCCCATAAACAACCACGGGAGTGAGTGACCTATTTTATTTGGAGTGTTGTTGGCCAAGATACCCGGAGAAATTTTTCTCTCTCATCAGCACCACGGGATCTTTAACGTCCACCTGACCAGGCAGACGGGGCCTCGGTTTAACGTCTCATCCGAAGGATGTCATCTACGACAATGCAACAACCCCCTCCCCCCCAGTGCTGCATTGGAACGTCAGCTCAGAGGTGAGAGAGATAGAGCACTACTGACTAAGTGAGACTAACACACTGGGTCGTGACTGTGACACGACTTGCGAGAGACGTTACCGTTATTCGGTGCTGTAGGTAATGCGTTTCTAAGCTTTGTCGCCGAGAGAGGAACTGTGGATGGACTCCATTTGAGAACACTGTTGTGTCATCTTGTAGCTGCTGAGAAGCCGGGTCCTGTGGAGAGAAGCAACGATGGAGCTTTAAACGCCGACCGATAACTACATCACTTGCCTTCACGGGCGTCGGGTTTTGCATTGTCAGAGGTGTAGTGAGAGACCGATTTTATTTGGGGGATTGTTGGCCAGCGCACCAGGAAAGAGAGAGAGAGAGAGAGAGAGAAACTCCCTTCTCTTTTTGAATATCGCTGCAGGATCTTTAACATCCACCCAAACAGATGGGACCTCGGTTTAACGTCTCTTGCAAAGGACGGCACCTCTGACAATGCAATACTCACCCCAGCGCTGCATTGGAAAGTCAGCTCTGACTGTGCAATTGATTCCAAATCCCGACGTGGGGCTTGAACCCACAAAGTTCACAATCTGAATGAGAAGCGAGAGTGTGTCTGCCAGGCTGACATACAATTTGTAGGTAGACACGGATTGGGAGGGAACACATCAGTGGGGGGGATGGCGGGGAGAGGGCTGTGTGTGTGTGTGTGGGCAGAGGGACGGAGCTTATAAAATTGGGGTAACCAGTAGAAAAGACTTTGAAATAGTGACCATCAGGTAGAACTATATCCTGTATCCCGAGATGCTATTTTCTCACAGAATTCTATCTTATTTGCTTTCTGGAAGGAATAGACACTTTCTGCTCCGCCCGTTAGTCTCTCAAGGGAGCCTGTGTCATCCATTTTTCCTGATAATTCTATCAAAGCCAAACAAGATGGAACTGAGTGCTCCAGGAGGCTAACCGGGGTGATGGCTGCAAGTTGTTGTTGCTGTTGAGTGCAGAGCTTTACCTGCTGGGGGTGGTGGAGGAGGCCTTGCAGATGTGACGACTGTAATGGATCGGGGTCTTCGTTGGATCCCAGCTGCTCGTACAGCATCTGCACCTTGTTCAGCTCCAGGATTCCTTTGGTTCTCGCCAGGTTCTGAAGATGCTGCCGGAAGGCGACGATGCCTGGCCAGAGAATGAACCGAGATTAGAGACTTCACAGGCGCGTACACACACACATACACACACACAGACACACGCACACACAGACACGCGCACACACATAGACACACTCACACAGTCACACACACACAGACACACTCACACACACAGCCACATTCACACATTCACACACACACCCAGACACTCACACATACACACTGAGACACTCACACACGCGCACAAACACACATAGGTACACTCACACACACACTCACACACACGCACACACACATAGACACACTCACACACACAGTCACACACACACACTCACACATAAACACACACACACCCACACACATTCACACACACACCCAGACACTCACACACACACACACACACACATATACCCAGACACTCACACACACGCGCACGCACACACATATAGATACACTCACAGACACACGCGCACGCACACACAGACACACTCACACACACAGACACACTCACACACACAGACACACTCACACACACAGACACACATACTCACACACACATACACTCACACACACACATACTCACACACACATACACCTCCACACACACTCACGTCACTTCGAGGCGTCTCAAAGCGTTCACAGGATATACTGTAAAGTGTTTGCCAGCGGCGGGTGCGGGCAGGTGGTACCTTGAGTCAGTGAGGTGTCGGACGCCCTCCTGCCCTCTCGGAAGCTGACCGGAGAGCGGTTGTGCGTCTCGCGTTTCTGCGAGCTGAGCGCCTGCATGGTGGGGTTAGCTGGTCTGATGCCCATGATGGGGGCCAGGGGCTGGCTGGTCAGGACCACCTCCTTCAGGGAGTGTGCGTTGTCCAGCACGCTGAGCTCGCTCTGCACAGACCCCATGTCGTATTCCGAATCCACGCTTCCCAACGACGGGTTGCCCACGTTGAACAGCTTCCCTATGTTGGGGAAGGAGCCGGGTTAGTGTCAGACTGACGCTAAATTGCTCCTCGTCATCGTGGTATGAAAGCCTCAGAGAAGGTTCTCCTCATCGCTCAGCCCTCAGCAGAACCACAGAGATTTATAACAATAATTATTATAATAATAATCCTTGCATTTGATCAGCGCCTCATCATGTCTTCGAGACGTCTCAAATTGCTTCACAGGATATAGTTAAAGTGTAGTGACCGTGTATTTTGTGAGGCAAATGCGGTAGCCAATTGCGGACAGCAGCGTCCCCACAAACAGCCATGGGTTGAAATGACCACATTTTATGAAAGGGGTTATTGTGCCCGGAGAGCGACCCGCCAATCGACTAGCAAGTGGGTCCCTATTTACTGCTTGGTAAATAGTGGCAACAACTACAACAATTTGTTTTTATTTTGCGCCGCTCACGCAGGGTAGCGTCCCAGAGCGCGTGTCAATAGAGGCGTGTGTGTGGAGTAAGGAAACAGCTAAGCTACAGGGATCTGGTTTGAGAGCTTGTCTTTACCTGGGTTGGGTACGAGGATGGGTTGGTTGGTGACCTCGGTCAGCGTGTGCCGCCTCTGCCCACAGCGCGTGGCCTGGAATGTGGCATAGACCTGGGCCGGATCCTCCTCGGAATCGTCCTCGGTCTCTATCCCCTCATCGATGGACGTCTCCATCATGTTGCTGGGAGACGGAGGGCAGCCTTTCCTTGTCAGCACAGGAGGCAGCGGATCCAACAGGCAGCCATTCACCTGGGAAATAACAGTGCGGTCAGTCGGTGACTGCTGGGTATTTTGTGGGCGAACGTGGCAGCTGGTTTGTGCAGGGTAGACACTGAGGAACAGCTACCGTCAGAGACGCAATGACCAGAAGACTCTTCCCCCCATCCCCACCTCTCCCACCACCACCGCACTTGCCCTCCACGCCTCTTGACTCGAACCCCCAGCTCAGGTGCAAACCCTTCACTGTCCAGCGCCTTGGGACACCCTCATGAGATAAAAGGTGCTGTGTAAATGCAATTTGTTGTTGTTGTTGCTATTGAGCGAGGTTCCTCCTCCTCCAGATCCTGGCTCCTCTCTTCGCTTCCAGCACTAAAGGCTTCCCACGTTCTGGCACGCTGACAGGTTAAACCAAGCCTAATATTTCCACCTCCTCGTGAATCAGCCTGTTCAAGTCTCCGCATGTCAGTCAAAGTCCCTGACGTGTCATAATGTTTTGAGAGCTTCCTACGACTCTCAGAGAGGGGAGTTTCCTCGTAAAACACGACTCCACAGAGAACCAGATGAACATCTTATTGCTGTCACCGTAAATTATTGTGCATGTGGGGTTGAAGCCAAGGCATTCTTTCTTTCAGGATATACTGTGACTGTGTGTTTTGTGGGTGAAACACGACAGCCAATTGCGCACCGTGACGTCCCACAAACAGTCGTGGATTGAGTGAGCACACTTTCTTTGTTTTGAAGGGATTATTAACCCCGGGAAAAGCCACTCGCCAATCGACTAACAACGTTTCGCCCTGCCCGGGAATCAAACCCAGGTCCTCTCACTTGCGAGGCGAAAGCTCTATGATAGGGGAGTCTGTGTATGTGGGGGCGGGGGGGCGGGGGGAGGAGGGAGTGGTGGTGGGGGAGAGGCAGAGAAGGAGGCTCACAGGGTAAAAATGAGTGTTCAGGGCTATGGAAGTGCTGTTTGACCCAGCACTGGGTTGGCCCGTGTGAGGAGGTGTCCTGAGCTTGGTGACAAGAAAGGTTTGGATGAAGGAGGTTCCTTCAGCCCGTTTGATCTCTTGTCTCTCCAGCACATCAACCCCATCACAGCATCCAGCTGTGAATGCAGCCCACCTTCCCTGGTAGCTAGCTGCGGTTGTTAATTACCCGCCTGGTAGAGAAATACTTCCTGGTGTCTATTCTGAACTTGTCTCCCACATCCCTGAAACCGTGCCCTTCAGACCTGCTTTGGCTCATTTGATCTCATGCCACAAGACTACAACAATGACGACAATTAGACATTTCTACAGTGGCTTTCGCATCGAGAGCAAATCTCAGAGCCCTTCATCGAGGAGATGACGAGCCTGGGCTGCTGGGGGAGGGGTGGGTGGGTCGGGGGAAGAGTTAGTGATGGTGTGGGGGGTGGAGGAGAGAGAAATGGTGATCAAAAGTGTAGTGGAAAACATAAGTTTTAAGGTGTTTTTTTAAGAAGGGATTGGCAAGACAGATGGAGTTCCAGAGAGCGTGGGCAGAACGGTTAAGAGCATTAATGGCTAACACCTAAGAAGTGGGAGTGGGAGTGGTGGGGGGGAGATGTGAAGCTGAAGGGAGAGAGCGATCAGGGCTGTGCGGTTGCAGGAAGAAAGATGGCTCTTATTTTGACAGGAACCGACCGATAGTGTCAAACCAGAATGCGAAAGGGAGAGAGAACAAAAAAAGAATAGTGATTAATTCCCGACAATGTCACAATCACACCGCAATCAAACACAGTCTGCATTGCTACGAGCAACACAGGAAGAGCATCTCCCGAACTGCGTCTGAATACATTACAGCTCAATACATATGCTACAGAGATTGTTCCACCGTTCTCTCTCACTGCAGGTGAGTCTTTGACTGCTACCGTGACTATTCTCGCTCCCTTTTATATCCTCCGTGGCAAGACATAGAAAAATATTAGAATAAAATAGAATAAAACAAATAAAACAATTCACGACTGTTTGCGCTGTATGCAATTGGCTGCCACAAAATACACAGTCACTACACTTTACAATATATTCTGTGAAGGACTTTGTGACGTCTCAACGTTGTGATAATGTGATAGATGAAATGCAAGAAGTATTATTATTTACTATTAATAATGATAAGTCTTAATTTGATACAGCACCCTTTCACATCGTCGAGATGTCTCAAAGCGCTTCTCAGGGTATACTGTAACGTGGTGTGTGTGGGTCAAATGTCGCAGCCATTTTGCGCACAGCAGTGTCCCACAAACAGCCATGGAGGGAGTGACTGATGTTACTTGGGGGATTTATTGGCCAGGGCATCGGGAGAGAGCGAGAGAAACTCCCTTTTCTTTCCTTATCCATCGTCCTTGTGATTCAGCCCGGCTCAGTGGGTAGCGCTCTCTCTCTTGCCTCTGAGTAAAAGGTTGTGGGTTCAAGACCCCACGTCAGGACATGAACTCACATGGTCTAAGCTGACGCTCCAATGCAGTGCTGGGGGGAGCAGTGCATTGTCGGAGGCGTCTTCCTTCAGAAGAGACGTTAAACCAAGGTCCTGTCTGACTGTCTGTTCAGGTGGATGTTAAGGATCTCATTGCTCATAGCAGTGACCCACAAATAGCTGTGGGTTGAGCGAGTGACCAAATGATTATTATTATTATGACGTGCCGGGGGGGAGGACGCGGCTCGGACAGCAACGTACCTTGGGAGTGTTCACGTCTTCCTCCACGAAGCTGATCTCGGGCTGGCAGGCGGAGGGCAGGAAGGAGAAGGAGTCCACGGCGGTGGGCTGGGCGAGGATGGGTGATCTGATCAGCCGCACGTTCTGGGTCATCAGACCGACCTGGGGCGCCACAGCACCCGTCTGGGGAGCAGAGATCACAGGGAGTCCAGCGTTAGTCACCACGGGAACCAGGCCTCAGCAACGACAACAACAACAACTTGCATTTATACAGCGGCCTTCACATTGGGTAGTTAGCGTCCTGGAGCGCTTGGCAACCACAGAGCAGCGTAAAACCGGAGCCTGTACCGATCCACACGGAATCTAAATTCACGTGTTGGAGGCTGGTCCAAAGGCCCGATAACCACAAAAGGCCACGAGACTTCACAAGATCACATGATAATATATCCTCGCATTTGATACAGCGCCTCACCGCCTCGTTGAGACGTCTCAAAGCGCTTCACAGAATATACTGTGCGGGCAAAACTCAGCAGACAATTGCGCACAGCAGCGTCCCACAAACAGTCGTGGATTGAGTAACCTCAATTTTTTTTTAGGGAATTATTACCCCAGGAAAACAATCCACCAACAAACTAACAACTGGATTCCTACTTACCAGGAAACAACTGGGTTCCTAGGTAAACAGAGGAGTGTTGCGTAAGGAAACTTGCCCAACATTTCTTCCTGTCTAGGAATCGAACCCGGGTCCTCTCGAGTGCTCTAACCACTGAGCTACGGGTAACAGCAAGAGGCGACTGGATTTCACAAGATTATAGGATGGGTTCGGATGAAGATAGCCCTTTGACTCACTTGATCTCATGCCTCCAAACCCTCCCCCCATCACAGCGTCAAACTTTTTTATAAATGAGTCCTGGCCTCAACCACCAGTTGGTAACCTATTCCAGTTGTTAATTACCCTCTGGGTCAAGAAAAACTTCCTGGTGTCTGTCCTGAAATTACCCTTTGCAAACTCTTAAATCCATGTCCTCTTGTTCTACTGTCTTGGTCCATCTGAAAATATTGTTCTGGGTTTATTTAAAACCTTTTATACACCTCTACAGGTTCCCTCTAAGACATTTGCATTCAAGCGTCTTATCATCAGAGAGATTAGGACGTTGATAATAAACTTTGCAATTTGATTTAGCGCTTGGCACGTCATGAGGTTTTCTGTGATTTGAGTATTTGTAGCATCGCACATTAATGTCCGACAAGTAGCCATGAAGTGAGTGAGCAATGATTGTATTTGGAGCATTGTTGGTCAGGACAGAATGTTAGAGACCAAACTCAGAGGCAGGTGTTGTTAATCCAGGCTTCCTGCCTGCCCTGACCAGGCTTTCGTTAAAGATCCTGTGGGGCTATTCAGAAAGAGAAGGGAGTTTCTCTCTCCCGGTTTCCTGGCCGACAAACCCCCCTCCCCCACCCCCCCACCCCAAATAAAACCGTCTATTTCCTTTGTGCGGGACGTCACTGTGCGAAAATCAGCAGCCGCGATCACCTACAAAACACACAGTCACTACACTTTACAGTGAGCGCTGTGAGACGTTCAAATGACAGATTAAGGTACCGTAACGCAGACTTGCACGTCACGGGGGAGCGAGAACCACTAGTGTGACAGGCTTCACCATCGAACGCTTCTAGCCGTGTATAAATACACATCGGCAGACGGCGGATAATTTACTCTGTGCCGTTACCTTAGCAACGGTTTGCTCGGCAATCGTGCTGGGCCGTCTCTGGCACGGGTCGAGCCTCTGGTCCAGCGGGAAGCTGCTCCGGTGGGACTTGAACCTCTCCACCAGCAGGTAGTAGATGGCGGCAAAATGGTTGTAACTCTTGTTCTGGAGAGACTGTGAGGGCAGACAGCGAGAGAACACAGTGAAACACTCCCAGCTCGCCTCGCACTTTGACGCTTTGACCGTCCTCAAGGAACAACAACAACAACTGACAACAACAACTTGCGTTTATACAGTGCCCTTCACATGGGCCAGTGTCCCGGAGAGCTAATCTCGTCGTCAACCCGAGGCCTTGAAACTCCCCCTCGTCTCAGCCTTAAGACCGTGATATTTCAAAATACAGAGACAATTCACTTTACAGCGGGGGGGGGGGGGGGGAGTGAGGTTGGGGGTCCAACCTTGATGGGGACATGGAGGGGGAGCACGTGGGCAGGTGAGACCACCGGTTGAAACTTCTTAAACCCAACGTTAATTTGGAAGCTGAGGTTTTCCTTAATAACAAAAAAAAAGGCTAATGAGTTGAATATTAAATTAAGATTGCAGGGGTGCTGGGCTTAAGGTTAGAACTGCACTGCAAAAGGCACAATGATTGAGCACACAGTGTTGACCCATTGCCAACTGTCAGCCTGTCACATAGAGACTGTTGACTTCAAGTTTCTGATACAATTCACGGGACGTCAGTCGAGCTCTTCTCAGAAAAAAAAAAAAAAAGTCTGAGATCTCGGGAGAATGTTTACACAGAGAGAGAGAGAGTGAGAGAGAGAGAGGCCATTCAACCCACAGTGCCATGTTACTGAAAAGTCCCCAAATCCACACAACTGTCTCTTTTGTTCAGAATTCCCCGCTCATTCCCAATAATAATAGTAATAATAATCCTCGCATTTGATACAGCGCCTTATCTTGTCGTTGAGACGTCTCTAAGCGCTTCACAGAACGCTTCACTGTAAAGTGGAGTGACTGTGTATTTCTTGTGGACGAAACGCAGCAGCCAATTGCGCACGGCAGTGTTCCACAAAGTCGAGGATTGAACGACCACATATTTTTAAGGGTTTAGTATCCCTGGAAAGCGATCTGCCAATCGATTGTAACCTGGTTACTATTTACTGCTAGGTGTGTGGAGTAAGGAAACTTGCCTAAACTTTTGCCCTTTCCCAAGGAATCAAATCTGCGTCCTATGGCTTGTGAGGGAAGCTGTGCTAAGTACTATCTACTGAGTTTGTGGAGATAAATAAGAAAGGCGATTCCATTTGACCTGTTCCCCAATCGGCCTCGATACCAGGATGGTACCAGGGATAAGCGACTTTAGTTATGTGGAGAAACTAGAGAAGCTGGGATTGTTCTCCTTGGAGCAGAGAAGGTTAAGGGGAGATGTAATAGAGGCGTTCAAAATCAAGAGGGATTTTGATAGAGTAAATAGTGAGAAACTGTTTCCACGGGCGGGTGGGTCAGTAACCAGGGGACATAGATTTAAGATAATTGTCAAAAGAACCAGAGGGGATTTTTTTTTTTTACACAGAGTGTTGTTACGGTCTGGAACGCACAGCCTGGAAGGGTGATGGGAACAGATTCAACAACGACTTTCAAAAGGGAATTAGAGAGGTACTTGCAAAGGCAAGACATGCAGGGCTATTAGGGAAAGAGAGGGGGAGTGGGACTGATTGGGTAGCTCTTCCAAAGAGCTGGCACAGGCAAGATGGGCCAAATGGCCTCCTTCTGTGCTGGAGCATCCTACGATTCTATGACGCTGCGTCCGTTACCTCGATGGTTTTTTGCTGGTCGATGCCGAGAGTCTGCATGAGCCGTAAAACCTGCTCGTTGTACTCGCCCACGGCGGACTCGCTCTCGCTGGGCTGTGGGTAGAGGATGGGGCGCTGGATGGGAACCTCCACCAGCATCCACTTGTGCTCCTTTATCTGGGCGATAGTCAGCCGCTTGGAGGGATCGAGAACCAGCATTCGGCGGATCAGATGTTCACAGTCTGGAGGGGACAAACTGTGTGTGAGGCTCTAGCATCCAGGACCAGTGAAATAACTGAGATGATTAAACGATAATAATAATAATAATTCGTCCAACGCAGGTGGAAAAAAAAAGGAGTTAAAACACAGTAATAGTTGAAATGTATTCTCACCTTCTGACATGAAGTACGGAATTCTAAACCTGCCTTCCAACACTCTCTGTCTCAGGATGGGCAGTGATGGACCATCAAAGGGCAAAGCTCCACAAACTAATACATACAGGACAACACCAAGGCTCTGTACAGAGACAAAAAGGATGAAAACACCCTCAGACCCCATTGGAGAGTTCAACATTTCAAGCTCCTCTCACTCGTCTTCAAATCCCTTCATGCCCTGACACCTCCCTAACTTGCCGACCTGCTCACTCCCCCAATCCACTACCCGTTGCCTCCACCTCGCTGGCTCCGGCCTCCTGCCCTGCATTCCACCATCGGCGGCCGCGCTTTCAGCCACTAACGCCCTGAAACTCTGGAACACTCTCCCTCAATCCCTCCCTTGCCCCCTTTCCTATCTGCAGGTCGTGCTTCACCATTGTCAAGCGCTGTGGGACTCTATCCTGTTTGAAGGGTGCTGTATAAATGCAAGTTGTTGTTGTAGATGACTTCTAGTGGGAACCTTTCTGTCCATGTCCTTAAAATCAGTCCATGCCACAAAGCTCTCACTGTGCAGCTATTTATTTATCTCTGGGGGAGAGAAAAAAATTCAATTTGCCGCTGCGTTAATTCCCAGTGACAGACGCATGCCGTTAAGAGGAAATAAAATGCATTCACACAAATTGCTCTTATGATCGAGTGTGGCGACGTGTTCAAATCAATCAGGGAAACAACTGTTTTTAAGAACTCAACTGGTCTGATGTGTGCCACTACGTCTCAAAGCTTTTTCATCGAATGTACTGTAAAGTGAATTGACTGTGTATTGTATGGGTGAAACGCAGCAGCCAATTGCGCACAGCGGCGTCTCACAAACAGCCGTGGATTGAGTGACCGATACATTTTTTTAAAAAAATGTTGAAGGGATTATTAACCCTGGAAAGCGATCTGCCAATCGACTAACTACCTGGTCCCTGCTTTCTGTGAGGTAACCAGAGACGTGTGGAGTAAGGAAACTCGCCTCAGGTTTCGCCCCACCTGGGAATTGAACCCGGATCCTCTCATTTGCGAGGTGAGCGCTCTAAACACTGAGCTACGGGACTCCGCAAACCACTATAAACCAGTGGATTCCATCCTTACTGAAATAGTAATGTAATAGGAAATAAACAATGACCCCATTACCAGAGTTGCTTGCAATGATTAATGGATCTCACAGTTCTGCTAAGCTCAATATAAACCAGGACTCGAGAGAAACTTACGTAAGAAGTAAGTTTATTCCTCTAGTATTTGTATCAAATCTCTGCCTGAGAGAGATGGATTTATGCCAGTGATAGAAGCAATAATCAATAAAAGTGATCCACCAATCAACTACTTACTGTGGAGTAAGGAAACTTGCCTAAGGTTTCTCCCCGCCCGGGAATTAAACCCGGGGCCTCTCGGCTTGTGAGGTGAGTGCTCTAACCACTGAGTTACAGATCTCTCATGCGAGATGCAACCAGGAGGAAGTTATATATACACATGGGGGAGAGGGGAATAGAAGGGTGTGGGAAGGAGTAAGGAGTGGGGGGAGACTTGCGTGGAGTACAAACACCGTCATGGTTGATCAGGACAAATGGCCTATTTCTGTGCTGTACACTCCATGTCATAGGAATATAGGAACAGGAGGAGGCCGTTCAGCCCCTCGAGCCTGTTCTGCCTCTAGGCTGATCTGTACCTCAACTCCAATTACCCACATCCCTTGACCCCCTGACCTAACTGATCTAACCACCTCAGCCTTGAAAATTTGAATGGATGTCATTCTATGTAAATCTATGTAAATCTTTAACATCCGTTCGTGATTAAGGCACATCGTAAATTGTTTAGTTTTAGGGTTAGAATAAACATGGTACCCAAATGTCCAGCTGTGGTCCTTCGTATCGCTGCCCTTCAAAAACCTCTGGAGCTGCGTAGGGAGGGCTTCCACACCATGTAGCGAGGGGCTCCCCGAGTGTGTAGAAGTTCCCGAAGCCAAAATCTGTTGAGGGAGACAAAGAGCAGAGGTGAGAAGCACGGAGGAAGATTCGCAAGGCGTCTGTCACACGTTGGGTCGAAAGGCCTTTTTCTTTAAGCCGCAAACGTCTAGCGTTCTGTGGTCGATCACTGACCCTCTAGCACTGAGTATCTCTTTATGATGGGATTCCCCACTCCGGCAGGTCAGGGCGAAACCTCAGGGAAGTTTCCTTACTCCACACGCCTGTTTACCTAGCAGTAAGTAGGAACCTGCCTGTTAGTCAACTGGGGGAGCGTGTTACGGGGGTAATAATCCCTCAAGAAAATAAAAATAATATATAATAATTTAGTCACTTATTTGGCGTTCTGTTCGACCCTGAGCTGTCCTTTCTTCCTCATATCCGCACCACAAAACCTGCACCGCCTTCCATCACCTCCGAAACATCGCCAGACTACGGCACTACCTCACCCCTCCCCCTCCCACCCTCACCCCCCTCCCCCCCCCCCCCCCCCCCACACCAGAACCTGCAGCTGTACGCCCGCACCCACCAACCACTCCCCCCCCCCCCTCCCCTCGCCGCCTCCACTGGCTCCCCATCCCCCAGAGAATCCAATTCAAGATCCTCATCCTCACCTACAAAGCCATTCACGCCTCGCTCCCTCCTACCTCTCCGACCTACAATCCCCCTATTACCTGCCGTACCCTCCGTTCCTCTGGCTGCGGTCTGCTCCACTTCCCCCCCCAACGGCCTACCATCGGTGCCGGCTTCAGCCTCTCAGCCCCGAGGCTCTGCAACCATCCACCAGTGCCTTCGCCGCCTCCTCCCTTTCCTCCTTCAAGGCCGGTCTCAAGACCTTTCTCTTTGACCTTCACCTCACTCCCCTCTCAACTCTCTACCCCCTCCTCGCTCCCTCCCTTCCCTTCCCTCACCCTGACCATTTCCCCACTGCTCGGGTGCTGACCCAACTGTCCAGCGCCTTGGGACGTCCTCCCGACGTGAAAGGCACTCTATAAATGAAATCTTGTTGTTGTTGTTGCTGTGGGACGCTGCTGTGCGCAATGGCTGCTACGTTTCGCTCACAAAATATACAGTCACTCCACTTTACAGCATTTTCTGTGAAGCGCTTTGAGACATCTCAAGGATGTGATAAGGCGCTGTGTCAAATGCAATTGATGGAACGGTGGGACGGGCTCGGTGGCTGGGCCGGTGTTCTGGAGGAGGTGAGATCAAGCAGAACCGGATTCTACCAGACCGGGAAGCTCCCTTGCGATGCCATCTTTACACCTGGACCACACAGGGCATGGTTATCCAGGGGGGTTGGGGGGGGGGGTGGGTGGAGGAGGTGAGACAAGGGTGGGGGGTGGGTGGGAGAAGAGTGGGGGAGAGAATGGGGTGGGGGGGGGAGAAAAAGGGATGGCGGGAAGAAGAGAGATGGTCGAGAAACAGAGCAAAATAAAAGGGGTCAATAAATTTGTTTCTGCTCCGTACACTTCCCGATTTGTTTGTTGGGCAAAAAACAACTGAGCAAAAAGTTCAATGAAAGCCTGTGACCTGCGGGAACCCACGTGTGCACAAGGCTACAGCCTCGCAGACAGAACAGGCTGTTTGTTATGTTCTGTCCCATGCTCAGCAGCCATATGTCTAACATGTGCCATCCATCAGCACATTGCAACTAACAATGGCCCACATTATTTAAGCACTGACTTTCCTGTGTGTGTGCGTGTGTTTGGGGTGGAGGAGGGGGTGGGGAGGGGGGGAGAGTACGATGGGGAGTGAGTGACCAATTTTATCTGAGGGATTGTTGACCAGGTCACTGGGAGAGAGAAACTCACTTCTCTTTACCATTTAGTGTCACACACTTAAGTGTCTCAAAGCGCTTTACAGAATATATTGCAAAGTGGAGTGACTGTGGATTTTGTGGGCAAAACACGGCTGCCAGTTGCGCACGGCAGTGTCCCACAAACTGTCGTGGATTGAAGTGACCAAATTACTGTATATATATGTATTTCTTTGAGGGATTATTACCCCAGAAAAGCCATCCGCCAATCGACTAACAACCAGGTTGCTATTTACTGCTGAATAAACAGAGGCGTGTGTGTGGAGTGAGGAAACCTGCCTCGGGTTTCACCACGCCCAGGAATCGAAACCAGGTCCTCTCACTTGGGAGGCAAACACTCTAACTACTGAGCTACTGGACTCCAAAAGGGTAAAAAAAGGAGAATAAAGAAATTCCGCTCCTCTAACAGGCTGAAAGGATTAAAAGACGGACATGATTGCCCGAGGCAGAACGGAGAGAGAGAGAGAGAGAGAGGGAGTGAGCGAGTGCGGTGCGGAGAGGGCTAATACGCTCTCCGGCTGATACTGAACCGCTCAGAGCAAAAAAAAATCAGCGTCTCTGTGCGTGAAATAAATTGCTTTCAGCTTTTTTTAAAAAAACGTATTCTGTTCTTAATGTGACCTTCATGGTTCTCTGCGGGGAGAAGCAATGGAAGATTCCCTCCCCAACTCCATCCACCCTCACACACACACACACACACACACACACATACACGCACACACATTCACGCACACACACACAAACACACACACAAACACACACATGCACACACATGCACACACATGCGCGCACACACACACACACGCACACACGCACACAAACACACACACGCACCCACACACAAACACACACACAAACACACTCACAAACATGCACACACAAACGCGCTCAGATACACACGCGTGAACACACACACACACAAACGCACACAGATACACACACATACACACACACATACACACACACACACACACAGACAGACACACACTCCGACTCAATCAAAGTGAGAGAAGAGAATAATTTATGCACTTAAGCAGCCGAGACGAGGGGAAAGAGAGAGGAGGCCTGTGGTGATTTACTAATTGTCTGAGCTGACCCATTTCATGAGCTGAATACTGATCAGCCGTGTTTGACGTCAACCGTCCTCTGTTATCCAGGAGCCAGAGGCAGCTCTGGGCACAGGCAGCTTCACAATAAAAGCCGGATTGCGGGCAGATAAAACAAACTTAAAACGTTTACATTACACGCTAGGCTTTTCACTCCCCCCTCCTCCCCCTTTTCCCTCCCCCCCTCCCCTCCATCCCTACTTAAATTTCACTTACAACAACTTGCACTTAAAATAATAATAATAATAATAATCCCTTCCATTCAATACAGCAGCCACAAGGCAAAAATGCCTCAAAGTCCTTGGCCAAGCTCTCAATGGCAAGCTATGCAGTTACCCCTGCGCCTAATACTCTCCAGAATTTGGGAAGCAGGACCCACCCTCCGGGGAAAGGAGGGAGGGAGAGAGAGAGAGAGAGAGAGAGCATTCCATTCCAGCAATCCATCCTTGGCATTTCCATGTGTTGGTGGGAGGCAGGGAATTCTCAGTTGGGTTTGGAGACTCTTTTGCAACGGTGATGGGTTTCCGTGTGTGTCAGACACCCGGCTGACCCTAAAAATAGGGGGTGGTGGGGGGGAAAGACAGAGGGGAGAAAGGGCAAAGTGTTCTCTCTGATAAAAACCAGAGGTGGTGGGGGGGGGGAGATAGGAAAAGCAAAGAGAGCAATTTTTTTTTGCCTTTAACTCACTCAGTGTTGAATCAAAGAAAGAAATCTGAAAGCGAGGAACTTTAGAAGTTAAAAGCTCCTTTTAAAAAGCAGAAAGGTTCGGCTTTGAAGTGTGGTGTGAAAGGCCGACCCGTGACTCGAACCGTTCACTGGGTAAAGGTCTCTGACTGTCAGGTAGACACACGGCTTCAAACCCCAGCCTTCAGGTGATATCTGCCGCTCAGGGCAAACACAGCCGAGGGTTTTTGGAGTCTTGTCTGTCTGTCTGTCTGTCTGTCTGTGGGAGGGAGGTTGTCTTTGTGTGTGTGTTTGTGTGAGTGTGTGGTGGGGGGGGGGGGAGTGAGGTTGTGAGCATGTGGGGGGGAATTAGGTTCTGTTTGTGGGGGGTTTGTAGGGGGAGTGGGGAGGTTGTGTGTGTGGGGTGGGGGGTTCGTGTGTGCATGTGTGTGGGGGTTGTGTGTGTGTGCCTGTGTGTGGGGGTGGGGGTTGTGTGTGTGCGTGTGTGTGGTGGTGGGGGTTTTGTGTGTGTGTGTGCGTGTGTGGGGGGGTGGGGGTGTGTGTGCGTGTGTGGGGGGGTGGGGGTGGGGGGTTTGTGTGTGTGCGTGTGTGTGGGGGGTGGGGGTTGTGTGGTGTGTGCGTGTGTGGGGGGTGGGGGTTGGTGTGTGTGTGTGTGTGTGGGGGTGGGGGTTGTGTGTGTGTGCGTGTGTGTGGGGGTGGGGGTTGTGTGTGTGTGCGTGTGTGGGGGTGGGGGTTGTGTGTGTGTGGTGTGCGTGTGTGGGGGTGGGGGTTGTGTGTGTGTGTGCGTGTGTGGGGGTGGGGGTTGTGTGTGTGTGCGTGTGTGGGGGGTGGGGGTTGTGTGTGTGTTGTGTGTGTGGGGGGGTGGGGGTTGTGTGTGTGTGCGTGTGTGGGGGTGGGGGTTGTGTGTGTGTGCCTGTGTGTGGGGGTTGTGTGTGTGTGCGTGTGTGTGGGGGTGGGGGTTGTGTGTGTGTGTGCGTGTGTGGGGGTGGGGGTTGTGTGTGTGCGTGTGTGGGGGTGGGGGGGGTTTGTTATGTGCTTTCTGGTATAATCCACATTTCTAGCAAAATTATGGCAATTCCCAACAAAGCATTTAGGTCCAACTCCCTCCCCCCCAACCATCACCATCACCATGCGTAGGAGCGACCTCTCTCTTTCTCTCGCACTCACTCCATCTTTCACTCCCTCCCCCTCTTTCTCTTTCTCTCACTTTGCCCTCTCTCATTCTCTCACTCCCTCCCTCTCTCGCTCACTTTCTCTCTCTCGATTACTTCCTCCCTCTGCATTACTCCTCGTCTCTCCCATCCCTGACTCCATCCCTCCCTCTCCCCTCTCTCTCCCTCCCCCTCCCCCTCTCTCTCCCTTCCTCTCCCATTCACTCTCTCTCTCCCTCTCCTCCCTCTCTCTCCCCCTCCCCCTCTCTCTCTCCCTCCTCTCCCATTCACTCTCTCTCTCTCTCCCCTCCCCTTCTCTTCCTCCATCTCTCTCTATCCCTCCCTCCCTCTCCCACTCACTCTCTCTGCCTCCCCTCTCTCTGTCCTTCACTCTCTCTCCCTCCCTCCCACTCCCCCTCTCTCCATCTCTCCCATTCCCCCTCACTCTCACTCCCTCTCTCCCACTCCCTCTCTCTCCCTCCGACTCCCTCTCTCCCCCACTCTCCCTCTCTCCCTCCGACTCCCTCTCTCCCCCACTCTCCCTCTCTCCCTCCGACTCCCTCTCTCCCACTCCCTCTCTCTCCCTCCGACTCCCTCTCTCCCCCACTCTCCCTCCCTCCTCTCACCACATTACCTGCTATTTTGATGTTCATGTTGCCGTCTAACAGGAGATTTTCGGCTTTCAGGTCCCGGTGGACAATCTTGCGGTTGTGACAATATTCCACCGCAGACAACATCTGCCAGAACTTCCGTCGGGCCTCTGCCTCGCTCAGCCGCCCCTGGTTTGCCAGATAATCTGCAAAGATGGGGGGGGGGGGGGGCGGGCGGTGGTGTGGAGGGGGCAAAACAGGAGATAAGTGGCCTGGTCAGACATCAGGAAAAAGAAAAGGCCGGACTTTAACACTGTAGACTAACCGGACACTTGGCAAAGACAATGACAACAACAACAACATCAACAACACGATCTTCAACAGCAACATCATCAACAACAACATCAACGTCGTTAATGTCATCAACAACAGCAATAACATCATTAACGTCAACAAACCATCAACATCATCAACAACAGCAGCAGCAACACCAACGACATTCATCAACAACATCACCAACAACAACAACAACAATATACAGCGAAGGCTCCCCAGCGAAACGGTGGAAGCAGAAACGACAACAAAATTGCAGTTGTAAAGCTTTCACATCAGGAGGCCATCCCAAGGTGAAAGCGTTGATTGATTCTTTCAAAAGCAATTGGATAGATTTCTTTTAGGAAATGTCGTCTGGGGATACAGTATATAGTTTGGGACATGACGACATGTGCAAGCGACGGCCAGGAGGTGAACCAGAAGGTGAACTGGATGGACTTTGGTCTTCTTTTGTCCAGCAGATTCCTATGTCCTATTTTGACCACTGTGCCCAAAACCCTGGAACACTCTCCCTCAATCCCTCTGTTTTGCCCCTTCCTTTCCCATCTTCATTCAGGGCGCGCCTCAGACCTTCCTCTTCGACCGTGCCTATCGTCCCCCCTTTACCAAAGTGCTTCACACAGTCTTTTTTCCGTAAAGTGCAGTAACTTGTCATACTAGACACATAGCCCGAGGTTGGGGCAGTTGGCAAAGTAATTCTCTTTATGTCACTCAGGAAATGCAGCACTTAAACAATATCTCGACGAGGCGATGAGGCACTATATCAAATGCAAGAATTATTATTATTAAAATATAAAAATAAGGTTAATGGAATCCTGGGCTTTATTAATACAGCAAGAATCCTATTACTAGCGGGAAAGTGTAATGGAATGGATTTTGGGCAGAGGTCGGGTGGTTGGGGGAATCGAGCACCAGCTGACTTTCCTCCATGCCATAATTTTTAGGCAAGCTATGCAAGTTATATATCCCTTCAATCAATCAATCAATCAATCAATCAATCAATCAATCAATCAATCAATCAATCAATCAATCAGTCAGTCAGTCAGTCAGTCAGTCAGTCAGTCTAATAATTTGGTCACTCAATCCAGGACTGTTTGTGAGACATTCCTGTGCGCAATTGGCTACCGGGTTTCACCCACAAGATACACAGTACACAGTCACTACACTACTTTCCGGCTGACACACTCACGCACGCTGTCAACACTCCAGCGCCACCGTCTCGCTGTGACTGGGGGGTAGGGGGTGGGGGAGTTTGGGGGGGGCAATGCTGTGGCAGATGGAACCATTTACACCCCCCACACCACCCCCCTCCCCCACCGGTTGTATAACACAACCTCAGAACTCCGCGGGAAGCCGAGCCTTTGAAATGTCACCGCGGTTGGGAACCTTAAAGAGGTAACGGCTATTTTTCCTCGCCGGCTGGTTCGGGGGAAAACAGCGCAAATCTGGAGGTCTGTGGGCCCCGCGAGGTTCCTCTTTTAAAACCCCCGCGGGTTGGCCCGTCCGGATCAGTAGGAAGTCAGCGCTCGACTGCAAATCGCTTTCACAACCCACACATCTGACATCGCGCTTTATCACCTCAAAGCGTCTCACACCGTTTCACAGCAATTATTGTTAAGCGCAACGAGGGTGGATTTTGCGGGTGATCACACAGCGACGTCCCACAAACAGCTACGTCTCTTATTCACACCACTGAGATGTCTCATGTCAGCCACTAATTTTATCTGGGGGGGGGCGGGGGTGGAATTGTCAACCAAAACACTGGGAGACACCCCTTCTCTTTTCCCAAGAGAGCAAATGGGGATCTTTAACAGCCACTGAAACAGTCATCAGCCCGGACTGTGAGATGCTCCAGTGTTACTTGTCATGTTATTTTAGTCATAATTGACGTCGCACTTTCACTCCCGTGTAGTTTTATGTTTAAACATCGCAAAATGTTACGATAGGAATTTATTAATGGGGGGGTGGGGGGGGATCTCAAACTACAGGCTCTACAGGTTACTATAGATCCTGTGAAGCCCTTTGACTGCATCATCAATAATAATAATAATATTAATCCTTGCATTTGATACAGAGCCTTACCACGTCGTCGAGACGTCTCAAAGCGCTTCACAGGATTTACTGTAAAGTGTAGTGACTGTGTAAATAGAAGCCTAATATTGAATATTACGACGACAACAACTTACATTTATATAGCGCCCTTCACATGGGGCAGTATCTCCGAGCACTTATTATGCAAAGGGGCGTAGGGAATGGCATAATTACACACACGCGCGCGCGCGTGCACGTGGAACTCTCAGTCTGGCTACGATTAAGCGCTCTGAGACTCCGTCCGGCGTGGAGGGCGCTGTATAAATCCAAGTTGTTGTTGTTGTTGTTGTTGTTGTAAGCGCGGTGATGGGTTTCTGTGTTTGTCAGAGAACCGGCCGACCTCAAGAGAATTTGGAGCGTCCAGTTTACGGGGAAGATTATCATCGTGAAAAATGGCCACTTGCCCCAGACTGACTGAGATGCTGAGAGGAACCTCATCACACAGAGAGGGAAACGTCCACAAGGGTTTCTGCTGTAAGCAGCCTCGCCGACATGCCGGCTAATTAATTCTGTGCCGAGACATTCTGCAGTTCACCGCGCCTGCATGACGTGCATTTGCACAGGATGTTCCGAAATCTCACAAAGCTAAACGTTCGGAAATATAATAACACAGTCTGCCTCACTCCAGCACCAGCCTGAGTCCCTGCTCTCACACACACACACACACACACACACCAGACAAACAGCCAGCAAGCTCGTGTCTGTGTCTGTCTGTGTGAGACGGACTGTGTGTATGTGCGTCTGTATCTGTCTGTGTGAGACAGACTGTCTGTGTGTGTGTCTTTCTGTGTGTGTGTGTGAGAGACACATCGCATGTGTGTGTGAGAGAAACAGACTACGTGTCTCTGACTGTGAGTGTGTATCTGATTGTGCATACGTGTATCTGCACGTGTGCGAATCTGACTGTGTGTGTATATGAAACAGTTTGTGTGCGTCTCTGACTGTGTGTGTGTTTGTGTACTTGCGTGAGTATGTGTGTGTCTGTGTGCTTGAGTGTGTATGTGTGTGTCTGTGTACTTGCGTGTGTATGTGTGTGTCTGTGTGCTTGAGTGTGTATGTGTATCTGTGTACTTGCGTGTGTCTGTGTACTTGCGTGTGTATGTGTGTGTCTGTGTACTTGCGTGTGTATGTGTGTCTGTGTACTTGCGTGTGTGTATGTGTGTGTCTGTGTGCTTGCGTGTGTATGTGTGTGTCTGTGTACTTGCGTGTGTATGTGTGTCTGTGTACTTGCATGTGTATGTGTGTGTCTGTGTACTTGAGTGTGTCTGTGTGCTTGCATGTGTATGTGTGTGTCTGTGTGCTTGCATGTGTATGTGTGTGTGTGCTTGCGTGTGCAACATAATCATTCTCAGTAAGAATAAGAGGAACCACATCACATAGGCAGCATCAGAGGAATAAGTCTGTGACAAGTTGTAGACACACACACACAAATTTCCAGTCTGTGCCTTCCCAGTGGTGGGGGTGGGGGGGATGGTTTAAGAGGGGGATTGGGAGGGGGAATGGCCGCAGCCCCACCTGCGCTTCACTTCCTTGACAACGTGTCAGCACATTTTCATCGCTGGTGCCATATTCCAATCGCAAATTCACACGGCACCGTCACACAAAACGACGCATTTAACACCAAGGTGCTGCAAATCACCATCAGCGTCCACACAGAGCTCCAGCGCTCACACACAGACATAACACGTACACACAACACAACACAACCCACACACACACAACACACACACACACACACACACAACACAAACACACACACACAACACAAACACACACAGAACACAAACACAACACACAAACACAAAAACGCACAACACACAGCAGTTCAACAAAACACACCAACTTGACTTTTCCATTCCCCCAACTTTCCGCTCTTGGACTCAAGTCCTCAGATGGAAAAACGCTCTCTCCGTATTTAGAAAACAGTAATGCAGTGACAGCTGCTGTGGTTTAAAGGCATTCCAAGTTGTCTGCAGATAATAAATTAAAAGCTTGGCTCGCCTCCAGATGTGCAGAAAGTGCTGGGGTCACCGTGACAATGTGCCGGGCCGGGTCAAGTGACTCCCATTAAAACGCCCGGGGACACAGATTGCGTATCCAGCCACCAGCGAGCCTCTCACGCACACACAGACACAAAGACACGCACACACAGACATACACACACACACAAAGATACAAAAACACACAGACACAAAGACACGCGCACACAAGCAATCACACACACAGATGCAAAGACACGCACACAGACACACACAAAGACACGCATACACGGACACAGAGACCCGCGCACACAGACATGCACACACGCAAAGACACACGCACAGAGATACACACGCGTGCAGACACAAAAATACACACACAGACACACACACACACGGATACACACAAGGTCACACACAAACAAAGACACGCACACAAGATGCACACACACACACAAAGACAAACAAAGATGCACACCCGAGCACGTATGGAAGCACATGTGCGCCCATGTGCACACGCAGCCACACACACAAAGACACGTACATACACTCACAAAGACTCGCACACGAGAACATATGCACGCACACTGATGCACGCGCACACAGACATGGATAAGCACACATGCACATACATTGATAAATAAGTCAAAGATGGAATTAGAATGTCTGGTTTCAAACAGTAAGAAACAATACCAGACCCTAATAAATAGGAAGTGGAGGCCTTTTAGTCCATCAAACCGGGCCTCCGGGTGAAAAGGGACAAAGTGGATTGCTCTGTGACTGGCACAGATACACCGGCTGAA